CTACATATATATATATATATATATATATATATATATATATATATATATATATATATATATATATATATATATATATATATATATATATGTATGTATGTATGTATATATATATATATTTATATATTTATATATATAACGTACATATGATGGATTCAGATAGTTGAATGGAACAGAAAACATACATTGAAAAAATTTTGAACGGTTTGGCCGCATTTGAATTTCTCTATATTTTTCTCTTATTTTGGTGATTTGTTCGATGTTTTATTGTTAATTTTGGTATTAATTCATAGTTAAAATTAGGGAAAGTATTAATATATTTTTGTTAACATTGATTTTATTAGGATTAATATTAAAATTAATTAAATATTTGAAAAATTAATTAAATGGTTTAAACTGTATTGGTAATATATACGTTTGTTATTTTCTGTTGTGAGTTCGTACGATTCCAAAGGTTGTTTTGTATAGCTATTTGTTATCTGGAATTTTACAATGGCGAGTAAATGTACAAAGTGCGTAAAAGTTACTAAAGACGTTGTGCAATGTGTGCAATGTTTTCAATGTGAAAATATTTTTCATGCAAAATGTGTTGGAGTAAATGATGAGGTTGTTGAGGTAACACGTACTTTGTTGAATTTCAAATGGTACTGTGATATTTGTTTGAAGACGGTATCCAACATTAGATTATTGACAAAGACAGTAAATGATAATAACAATGAAATCAAGTTGAAGGTGGATCAAATTAATGCTGCGAATATTTCGTTAAAACATGAACTGGACATGATCAAAAGTATGATTAAAGATAATGATTCAAAATTAGAAAAGCTTGATGAACCAGGTTCCAAGTTAAGTGTTGAAATTGATCATTTTAAAAGTGAATTGCAAAAAACATGGGTAAGTGTCGTTGGCCAGGAGGTTAAAAAAGGTATGCAAAGCATTAATGTTGAAGTAAAAACAGTACAAAAAACATTAGATGAGGCACAGGAAATAAAAGAGAGAGAAAAAAACATTATGATGTTTAATGTAACTGAAGGAGATAATGACAGAGATCGAGTCAAGGAAATAATCAAGAAACTGTCGAGTGATATCAAAGATTCTGATATGAAAAGAATAATAAGACTGGGTAAAAGGGTTGAATCAACAAATAGGCCAATTTTGATAGTGATGGATAACATTTCAGCTAAAGAGTTGGTGATGAAGAGTTCATACAAACTTAAGCAAATGTCTGAAGAACTTAGTAAGGTATGGATTGCCAATGATCTGACTGCTGAACAGAGGAGTGAATTGAAGAGTTTGATTGCTAATGCAAAGACAAGAGAAGCTGCATGTACGGGAGGTTTTTTATACAGGATCAAAGGACCTGTGGGAAAGTGGCGGATCGTGAGTTTCAAAAAGTCATAAAAGGTAAAGGTAAAAGTCCTAAGAAAAACAATGGTTGTAAAATGCTTAACAATGTTAAAATAGGACTAGGGCTTTTGAATATTAGGTCAATGTTGTCGAAAAATGATAAAATGTATGAGGTAATTTGCGATGGTTTGGATATCTTAGTTTTGACTGAAACATGGCATGGGTCCAGTAATGAAATTGCTGTTAGGCGGGCAATGCCACCAGGTTATAATTTTGTGGATTTTGTCAGACCTCATGATCCATTTCATGGTGGACTAATAATTTATTTTAAAAAATGTTTTAATTTTAAACTCATCAGATTACCTGTGTTAAAGACTTTTGAGGCATTAGCCATTAAATTAAAAATAAATGGAACTCATATTGTTTTATTGGCTGTTTATAGACCAGGATCGGCTTTAATTTCATCTCTATTCTTTCAGGAGCTTGTTGCTGTTTTAGAGATAATATCCTTGCTTAGTAACAATGTTGTCTTAGCTGGTGATTTTAATGTGCATGTAGAGAAACACATGGATCCTCACAGTGCGTCATTATGTGAGATTTTTGGTAATTTTAATCTTGTTAATAGAATAAATGAACCAACGCATGAATTAGGAGGTGTGTTAGACCTGATTATCACTTCTTTGTCTTTTCCAGTTTTCGATATTCGAGTTCTGCCTCCGGGAGTTTTTTCTGATCATGGTTTGGTTCAGGCATGTTTATCAATTGATCAAGTTATAAGAATGAAAAAAAAGGATGGTTCGATCTTGGAAAAACATGAATCACGATCGTTTTATTTCTTTGGTTCTTGATTCTCCTTTAAATAGATTATGCCAGGGTGGAAATACTGATGATTTATGGAATTTATTTGAAAGCGAAATGACGAAAATCACTGAAATAGTTGCACCTTATCGTATGGTTGAGGTTAGAGATGATCCGATGGCACCTTGGTTTGATTCAGAATGTAGACGGTCGAAGGCTTATTGTAGAAAAATGGAAAAACGATATAGAAAAACGTTGAAGGAAGAAGATAAAAAAAAACTGGGTAATGGCCATGAAAGCAAAAAGTTTCATATACACTCAAAAGAAAAATCTATATTGGAAGGAGCTCGTTAAGGATAATCAAAATAATGCAAAAAAAATTTGGAGTATTATTAATAAATTGCTGTGTAAGGAAATTGGTAGTAGCAGTTTAAAAGATGCCACTGACCATACAGCTCAAAAATTTTTAACGTTTTTCAATAATAAAATAGATAAAGTTCGAGAATTGACGAAGACTGCAGATTATCCAAACTTCAATCAGTCAGAGTTCAAAGTTGAAAATGTGTTCTCTACTTTTCCAGTATGCACTGAAGATGATGTTAAAAGAATAGTTCTAAGTTCTCCATCAAAATCATGTTCGTTGGATATTTTGCCTACGCACATTTTTCAGAAACATATAAATTTGTTTACTAGGTTTTTAACCAGTTTTATTAACCTTTGTTTCAAACAAGGCAACTTTCCAAACAGACTTAAACTTGCGATTGTTACACCGCTGTTAAAAAGACCAGGCATGGACATTAATAATTTAAACAACTATAGACCAGTGTCCAATCTTTCGTTTATTTCAAAGGTGATTGAGAGAATTGTTGCCAAAGAGCTGTTGACGCACATACGCCGGAACAATTTATTGCCTGTGTTTCAGTCAGGATATAGACAACATCATTCAACGGAAACGGCTTTGTTGCAGGTTTTATCGGTTTTGTTGGAAAACATCGATGTTGGAAATTCCTCCCTGCTGGTATTTTTAGATATGAGCGCAGCTTTTGACTGCGTTGATCACGATATCCTCTTAAGACGACTGGCGATCTGTTTTGGTTTATCAGGTACAGTGGAATTATGGTTTCGGTCTTATTTGTTACAACGAACGCAACAGGTGTTATTTATGGATGATTTATCGGCAATTCATTTGGTTTCCACTGGTGTGCCACAGGGCTCGGCGTTAGGACCAATATTATTTTTGTTATATACGGCTGAGATTTTTAATATACTGGATTTTCATGGATTTATGGGTCACGCTTTTGCAGACGATATTCAGATAACAGTAAATGGACCCCCAGAAAGATTCCAATCTATAGTTGATAACTTTGTCCAGTGTTTATCGGATATTAATGACTGGATGGCAACAAATCGATTGAGGCTAAATCGGAGCAAGACTCAACTGTTGCAAGTTGGTACATGGCAGCAGCTTTTTAAGATGAGTATAGATTCTGTTTTGATTGACGATTTGAATATACAATTTTGTTCCACAGCAACAAGTCTAGGTAGGATATTAGATTCTAGATTGACAATGGTTGAACATATAAAATTTTTATCCAGAGTATGTACTGTTCAATTACAAAAATTGAATTTGATAAGAAGATCAATAGATAAAAAAACGGCTGAATGTTTGGTTCATGCATTCATTCACTCGAGACTCGATTACTGTAATAGTTTGTATTATGGATTGCCGGAGAAGTCAATTGCTATGATTCAGTCTATTCATAATCGTGCAGCAAAAGTCGTGGTTGGTGGAGCAAAGTTTGATCATGTAACTTCTATATTTAAAGAACTGCACTGGTTGACGATAGAAAAAAGGGTGATTTTTAAAATATCTATGATCATGTTCAGATGTTTGAATGGATGCGCACCAAAATACCTCGTTGACAAATGTTTGCCACGAGTGGTTTCTACACGAACAATTCGACTTCGGTGTGATGAATTGAATTACATGATGGTTCCTCCTACCCGTTTGAAGATTGGAACAAGAAATTTTTCCGTTTGTGGACCAGCTGTGTGGAATAGCCTTCCTTTTTATTTAAGAAATCAGGAATTAAATTTAATTATGTTTAAGAAATTATTGAAAACTTACCTGTTTTTGTTGTAACAAACAATTTATGTTTATGATTTATTGAATTTATTTATAAATTTTATAGATGCGGTCATTCATGAGTTTATTGCATTATTTATGATGGCGCCTTTGAGATAATAATTTAATTGGCGCTGTATAAATGTCCTGATAATAATAATAATAATAATAATATGTATGTATGTATATATATATATATATATATATATATATATATATATATATGTATGTATATTTATATATATAACGTACATATGATGGATTCAGATAGTTGAATGGAACAGAAAATATGCCAATACTCATTGAGAACAAAAAAATTATAATGCATTTTATAATGCATAAAAATGAATAATTAATTTAAAACTAAAAAAAGTTTGAAGTTGTTTTGATAAATATCAGTATTTGTTGAATTAAAACGTTTAAGATGTTTCATTGTTCCAGTTTTATCGCAAATTACACAACTGTGTATTTCACGTTATATTTTTTAAGAATTTTAACAAGTAAACTTGGCATGTCGTAACAGCGTGTTATTATTATACACTATATTACAAAATTTATGTTTTTAAAAATATCTGTATCTATTTAACTTAAATACAACGCAGTAATTTGAAGTATTACTTAATAAATTTTTATACATGAATTGCAGCACCTAGCAATCATAAAAAATTTTTCTAAACGTAAAATACTTTTGCACAAGCTTATACACTCTTGAAATATACTAATGACCCCTTATAACTTTTTAAGATACTTTTTAGAATGCCTATAGTCATAATATATGCATGCATATATTGTACAAACTTGAACAGATCGTTCCGGGAATCAACAAAGAAAAATGAACAAACTGAAAGAAATAACAGAATATCATTTGTGCAGCGCCCAAGGCATTGCGTCAGAGGCGCCAGACGCATCAAAATATAACAAAACTATATAACCATGCGTGCCCCTTTATTGCTGTTAAAAAATTTCAACATCACAAAATAATAATACATTGAAAAATTAACTGGAGTTTATAAATATATTAAAAAGCAGTCCGGAAATTAGTATTTGGGCATTTATCAGAGCACAGTGAAATTAACGGAAAATAATGTACTACCGATGATTAAATTGTTACAAAAAAAATTAATTACCGATATTGTGATAGATAATAATTATAACGCCCATTAGGAGTTCAACATTTTTTGCTCTGTACTACGTTAGGAAAGCCCTTGTTTAATATACATGCACACAAAGACGGTAAGGGATGGTATAATATAAAATTTTATTAAAACAAATCTTATAAAATAAGTAAAATAATAAACATGTTTTATTGCCATAATCTGTATTATAAATAAAAAAGTCATTAGTTATTAAATTCCAGCATGTTCATTGAAGTTCAACTATTTTAACCAAATTTTAATTATAAAATTTAAAAAACCATATTAATTTTAATTCAGATTGAAAAACACAATTATGTAAAATTGATAACAATGGAATATTTTTAATGAAACTTGTCTTGAAAGGAAAAAATTACTAACCCCCAATCTCAATGTTATTGATTTCAAAGCTGAAAGGTTGTATATTCCAACAGGTCACCCAACATTTCAGGTTGACATCAATAACGCAAAATAATAAAACAAATTGTAAACAAATCATTTAAAAATTGTTTTGTTTGCAATTACATCTAAATTTATTAATCTATAATTTACAGAAAAAGCATATTCGCGATTCTTTCAGTACGAAAAAAATGATGAGAAAAATAACTGTAGCAGCGTACACGCAGCCTAACGATGTTGTATACACGCTCTCTTTAAAACATGCGTGATAAAACGCGATGTGTACATCTACAGTGCTAAAAAATGCAAGCTGAATGCTTTTTCAAAGTTTTGCATTGTTGATATAATGATCAAGAAACCAGTTTTTATTTTTGAACAATGAATCAAAATATTATAACTATGTATAATGAATAAAATAAATCAAACTAATATATAAATTTATATATCAATGTGACATATTTGACAAATTTTAAGCAATATTTATATATAATATACAATATTCATATACAATATCAAAAAATATTTATGCTGTTTTTTTCAAATTTCTTTTATATTCAAAGTATTTTTACGTTTGATATTTTTAATATTAATTTAAATGAAATTTATTCTTGTTTCCAAATTAACAGCATTTAGGCAGTTGGCTCCAAAATTGTGCTACTGTTTACTATTTTGATTACTAATAATATCGTTGTAGACCGTGAAAAAAGAAAACATTAAAATTTTGTGAATAATATACAGTAACAGTAAACAAAAATTAGAAAATGTTGACCAACTAAAAATTTTGAAAAAAGTCTGTTGAATATTATGTAAACTTATATTGTGTCTGTGGCAATTAGATACTCGTTCTGGATCTGTCTGCGTTGTTTATTAGTGAATCTAGTTTTATATATGTCGCCATTTGCATTATTAAAGTATTTCGTATTTCGTTAATAAATAAACATTATTAAACTCAATTGTTTGTTAGTGTGTATATTATATCTCGCTCCAGTTATCAGAATATACCATGGCAACCTCAATGTTTTCAACAGGTTATGGGCCTAGGTCACGACGGGTGTTCAATGGAGACGAAAGGAAATACAAATTATGGGAGGTAAAATTCATGGGTTCCATGCGGCTACAAAAATTGCATGATGTTTTCATGAGTACAGATGATCCTGAAGAGGAACAAAATGCTGAAATTTTTGCGGAGTTAATTCAATGCCTCGACGACAGAAGTTTGTCGTTAGTTATCAGAGACGCCATGAATAACGGCAAAAAGGCTCAGGAAATTTTACAAAAAACATTATTTAGGTAAGTCAAAACCCAAAATTATATCTCTGTACAACGAATAAACGATTCTTTCAAAACGTGAAACAGAAATTGTGACAGATTACCATTACATGTTACCAGCTGGGACCATAGCTTCGTCATTAAAGACAGCTGGTGAGGTAATAAATGACAGTCTTCACATCGCCATGATTCTGAAAGGTTTGCCACAAGAATTCAAAACATTCTGTACAGTTACAACTAGGGATGCACCGGATTTAGGTTTTTCACTTGGCCGGATTTAAAATTCAAAAACCGGCCGGAGCCGAGGCCGGATTTTAGTTACCATTTTACATACGTTAGAAAAAATACTCAAATTTACGGTTATCTACATGTTGAACATTAAAAAATAACACCAAGCAAATAGTTAATTAATTCAAATATATGAATAAGTTGTGTGATACGCCAAATTCTGTACACAAAGATCAGCTTATAATTTATGCATAACTCATATTATAGCATAAAGAAAATTGTCCAGCTCACCTCACAATTAGTGATGTTGTTATTATGTGTCATGTATGCACGTGCACAAATTCTTTTACACAAAGATCGGCTTATAATTTATGCAAAACCCATGTTATAGCACAAAGAAAATTGTCCAGCTCACCTCACAATTAGTGAGGTTGTTATTATGTGTCATGTATGCCTAGCCTAACCTTTAACATACCATGTTCTTAAATTATGCGCATATGTATCAATATATATATATATATATATATATATATATATATATATATATATTATGTAGAAGTATGATCCGTAATATACAATTATATAGTATATACACGTGCACAAGTTCTTTTACACAAAAATCAGCTTATAATTTATGCATAACCCATGTTATAGCAGCATAAAGAAAATTGTCCAGCTCACCTCACAATTAGTGATGTTGTTATTATGTATCATGTATGTTTAGCCTTTAACTTATTGACATAAAATTAATTGAATTCAATAAAAACTTTTTTCTATTTATGACATTTTTAAATGTTGATAGACGCTTAAATCCGGCCACCGCGGATTTGAAAAAAAGCAAGATTTCAGCCGGGGCCGAACTTCGGTGCATCCCTAGTTACAACACAGAAAAATAGAGAACAATCATTTGCAGAATTCAAGGTTGCGCTTCGTAGGTTTGAGGAAGCAGAACTGTACTTGTAGTAGTGAGGATACTGTAATGATGAACTACACAAAACCCATACAGTGTTTCACATGTTATCAACATGGATACAAGTCATTTGAATGTAAAACTTGCAAAGAGCAAAAATCAAATAAAGGCTATTCAGAAGAAATGGTCTGAGATATGCAAAAATAAATCTCATAACACACATCAATGTAGAAAGAACAAAAATAGTGCAAAATCAGTTTTAGACAACCAACAAGAAGAAAAACAATCATATTTATTTTTCAAAGCCTCAGAAAGTCAAAGCATTGGATGTAATAATCGACTTGTAGATTGCGGTTTAACAACCCATATTGTTACTGACAAATCAAAGTTTGTACACCAAGGAACAAATTTTAAATCCACCAGTCGCTGTATTGAGCTAGAAGATGGCTCTGGATCAACTGGGATAGTGAAAGGTAGAGGTACAGCAAAGGTTGCAATACACAGTTCAGACGGAAAAACTAGAGATGTCTATCTGGAGAATACATTGAGATACCTCAAGATATTTTTTTGGTTTAAGCAGCAACAGAAAAAGGAGCTACAGTTAATTTCAACCCCTATTATGCACAACTCGTTTGTTTAATTAATACTGTCTTTAACTTTTGTAAATGCAGAAATTTGTATTATCTAAAAGGTGTTGCCGACAGAACCAATGTTAAATATAATCTGTACAAATGGCACAAAATCCTAGGTGACTGCAACTTCAGGGACATCATTAAACTAAAATCTGTAGTAGAAGGAATAAAAATAACCGACAAGTCAGAAGTTCAATGTGACGTCTGCATTCTTGGAAAAATGACACAGTCCTTTAACAGGCTTAGTGAGAGGCGTGCCACAAAACCACTGGAACTTGTTCATTATGATTTAAGTGGTCCTGTCACACCCCCAACATGAAACGGTTTTAGATATGCTATATCGTTTGTTAATGATTTCTCTGGTGTATATACTAGATTTCAGATCATTAATACTGAAAAATTGCATCAAAAACGAGAAATTTGCACCAATTCACCTCATGAAAATGGAACAGTTGAACGAAGTCGGAGATCTTTGTTTGACTTGGCAAGATGTTTATTGATAGAATCAGAACTTCCAAATGAATTGTGGACAAATGCAGTGCGCGTGGCGGCATACACACGCAATAGATGTTTTTGTTCACGAACAGGAAAATCACCTTACTAAAGTATGACCGGCAGAAAACCTGACCTGTCTCGCATGTATGTCTTCGGTTCAACGTGTTATACTTTTGTACAAAATAAAAGTAAACTTGATTCGAGGAGTGAAAAAGGAATATTTGTGGAATATGATCACGAAAGTCCTGCCTATCTCGTGTATTTCAGAAACTCTGAAGCTGTGAAGAAGTCAAGATGTGTGCGTTTCACAAACAACATAAATGCAAAGGAAAATGAATATGATGTTAGTCATGATTTTGAAGACTTTAATTATATTGATAAAAAAAAGTGATGTCGCTGAAGCTGAGACTGTGACACAAAACAAACTCACAACTGTAAATTTGAATCTTGTGAAAGAGAAAGATGAGAACAATAATGCAGATATTTCAACTATAACCCAAAGTAAATCAGGTTTGGAATCGATTGTTCGCAGATATCCAATGAGAAACATGAAAAAAACCGAAACATCTAAATAACTACATTCTAGAGGATAATTCAGCAAATACTACTGTTCATTATTGCTACAAAATGTACGACGTGCCGAAAACATATAATGAAGCCGTAACTTCCTCCAATTCTCGATACTGGAAACAGGCTATATTGGAAGAAATAAACTTGTTATTAGACAACGACACTTTTGAACTATGCCAATTACCAGAAGGCCAAAAAGTAATTAGAGGTCGTTGGATATATTCACTCAAGCTTCAACCGGACGGCGATGATCAATATAAGGCTCGATATGTAGCAAAAGGTTATTTTCAGGTACAAGATATTGATTACAATAAATCTTTTTCACCAACTGTTCGAGTTACATTTATACGAATGATGATTCAATTAGCAGTGCAAAACAACATGGTTAATTTTTCGATGTACGGTTATTTCTTGATGTCAAAATTTGCTAAAATTACTTAAATGGGTGCGTGCTTATATAGTGTATGAACTGTTTAAGATGTTTTATTTTAACACATAACAAAATGAAATGTATATGCCTTTGCGTTATAAAAAGCATCTAAAGCAAACTAAAAAAACTAAGCCTAACGAAATCAACGAAAAAAATGAATCAATCAATTTCAAATCTAGCATAATAGTAATAATAAAAACAGATATTAGGTGAACAAGATTTATAAATTAAATCATTGCAGACTAGCTATGTTAATTGGACTCTTTTTTTTACAAAACATTTGATGTTATTAATAGACATTGGAACTTGGTCACTGACAATGGTATTCCATAAATTAATGCCGCGTATGGACAAATTTCGATCCTTTATTACGATCCTATCGTTTTGTCTAGTTGATGAAGATATATATGTGAAAGTGTTTAAGAATTTGTAGTTTTCGTCACTTCATACATAAAAATAAAAGTAACATATTCGTTGATTTGTTCAATGTTAAGTAATTTATATTTATAAAAGATGAGTTCTGTGTGATCACGTAAAAAATATTTTTGTAGTACTTTTAATTTATTAGTTAAATATTTAAATGTATATCTCCAGAAAACGTTGCCATAAATGAAATATGGAAAAATAAACGCATAATAGATCATTATCATAGTGTTTGGTGTTAATCTAATGCCAATAACGTTGTATAATTTACTGATGACTATATTTACATGCTGAGTCCAATTTAAATCCCTTGGTATAATAATTCCATAGAATTTTATGGAGTGAACGCGAGGTAGCGCAGTATTACCCATTCTTATTGTTAAATTTTCTAGTATGTTATTGTTAGTCTTAATTTTGGGTCCGAAAATGACATAGCATGAGTTTTTTACATTCAATATAAAATAATTATTAAATTTTACAAGCTCTGTATTCATTTTTTCGAACAGCATTTCTGGATCCTTACCAGACAAAAATATGTTGGTGTCATCTGCAAATAGTACCGTAGTACAACGATCGGACACGAAAATAATATCATTCATGAAAAATCAATGAAAATCCCTAACATGAACACTTTGGATTAAAAACCATTTAATAGAGATCTATACAAATCTACAATTGCTAACTCTTTTGAGGATTTATATATATCCATGTGTGTGAATTTTTGCAGCGCGGCGGAATCTTTTCTCTGTTTGAATACCAGCATACGCCGCCTCCAGCCTGGGAAGTCTCGCTTTCGCCAGGACTCGCCTCCTCACAAATGTTTATTTCCGGGTCAGAAAATACGGGCCAGGCGGAAGTGCTTTCGCGCCCTGCTTGCCAGTCGGTCAATCCGGTCTTACTAACCGCTGACAAGTCTTTTTCATACATGTTTTATATGACGAACAAGACAAACAAAAGTTAACTGAAATAAATTTATTACAAACAAGAAAGAAAATAAACTTACTCTGCAAAATAAATGTTTTCCAAATGTTCCAAACTAAATAATAAACTAAAGTAAATTAAAACAGCCAAAAAACACAGTAACTAAATTTAGAAAATAAACCCGCGGAACAATATCACCAATTACCAAAATGACCAAAACCTAACACGCCAGGAACCGAACTACCACCAAAAACTACACGAACACTTTACCAAAAACTAACTCAAAAACTAACTCGAAAAACTCAAAAACTCTGAAACTTCCGATCCTAAAACAATTGTCCAAAATACATATATATTAATTCACATAAGCAACCATTCACTTTCAAATATGCTCACTATACTCACGCTATAGGTACTATTTACATAAAACCCATTCACATAACATTCCGCCAGCATGCATACAAAACCAGTTTATACAAAGTTTTACCAGCATGCATACCAGACCACTCCATACAACAAACGCGCCAAACAAACCAACACACGTATATGAAACATTCATTCATAGACGCGTGCCAAAAAACTTCACAAAATACCCTACTCCATCAAACGTCGTCCCGACGTTTGCTGTCAAAAATCTTTGTTGAAGTTGGAGATGTTAATTGCCATTAGTTTCTCCGGGCCCCATCTGGACGATCTCTTTCTTTCCCTTCTTCTCGTCGGTACAGCGATGCCTGTTGTCTCGATGGGCAACTCACTATCTTCTTTGATCCACTGTCTTCATTCTTCGGGGCATCTCTAGTAAATTCGTTAATTATAGTTTTGACGTTAGCTGGATTCTCCTGTTGAGGTCGTTGATCTAACTTATTTTTCACCGTGGCCCCTAAAAGATCGGACAACCGCGTTCCCTGTTTAAACAAACTGGGTTCGTAATTTAAGTTTAATACCCTTATGCATTGACCATCGTATTTCATCGAAAGCAGCGTCCTAGCAACATATACGCCCGAATTCACTTGCCTTGCTTTCGAACATACGCAATCTGTCAATGTCAATTTAGATGGCTGACTTACAACCAATTGTATCGGTACATCTAATTCCGCTCGTGCCGGAATTTTTGCACTTCCACACTGGAGTAAATTTGGCACAATCGTCCATTTGACGATCCTTAGTGACTAACTTCGGTATTCTATTTTTGCTACCCACAATAATCCGTACTTCGTAAAACTTCCATGAGACTTTATTGTTTGCCAGCCAATCTAAACCCAAGATAATTTTTGACACGTGGTCTGATATAAGGACAGAAGCAAGTTTAGAAAATCCATCAATTTTTATCCAAAGTTCCATTTCTCCCTTCATTGAAATCTCTGTGTTGTTAGCAGCTTTTAACGATCTTTTGGTAGGTATGACCCTTGTTACGTCAACCATTGAGGACGGGATGATGGAAACGCTGCTTCCGCTATCCAACAAATTCAATCTTTTTTTGCCATTTACCGAGATCGGAAAATATAAGGTTCGGTCGTCAGTCCCATTAAATTTGTTCACGTGTTCCGATTGTTTATTTGACTTTTCTTTCTCTTCTGGGCATTCCCTTTTGAAATGGCCTGATTTTCCGCACCTGTAACAGTTATTTTGAACCTTTTGATTGTTTGGTTAAAACCTTTTTGGCGTACTTCTCTGAGGGCATTGGGAGACGAAGTGTCCTAGTTTTCCACAGTCAAAACAAACTTTTTCACCTCTGACATGAAAAACAGTTGGCTGTACTCTATGATCTCGAAGAAGGTCAAGCGATTGACAAAGCGAGTTCATTTGCCGTTCCGTTCCACTGCTTTCATCCCGTCTTCCGTTGTATCCTGCATGTTCCTAACCTGTGGGATAAACCTGTAGGATGAATTAAATAAATTTTTTGTAACTTCAAGACGTTATGCAATTCTTAACGCACCATCAATATTTCTTGGTTCCCTCTCTCTAACTTTTAATTCTAAATCAGCGTCATTGAGAGCAGATAAAAAATCTCTTGTTAAATGTATCGCCAACTTTGACTGTTTACCCGGGTAAGCTAACGACATTAATTTTTTTACTGTTTGTGATAATTCACGCTCAAAAGACTCGTGAACACGAGTTCTATAACAATTTTCTAGTTTTGCTACTAATTCTCAATAACCCAGTTCTGCTAAGTCCCAAAGAACTTCTGCAGCTTCACCTGTTAGCGAACAAGACAAATACGCTTCCATGTTGTCTAAACTCCATTGGTAATACCTAGTACATATTTCAAACTTCTTAAGAAAAGTCTTGAGACACCCGGTGCCATCAAACCTGTCTGGCGTCGACTTATAACCCTAAGAAACATGTTCTGGAACCTGTGTGCGTGTTTCTTTTTGTACAATGGCTGCAGATTTTGCTTATGTGCAAAATGAATTACTTTATTTTGTATTCAATAATTTAAAAAATTAAAAAATGAAGATTTTCAGTTTAATATAATTAAGTTTTACTCATCTATTGAAGACATTACCGCAGCTAGACAACAAATTACAGCGGATGTTGAAGCTGCACGATCAAATTAATCAATCAATTAATCATTCAATCAGTGTATTAAGCGCTATTTTCGCGATGTTCAGCAGCACCCCTCAATGAATTTTCCAAACAGATTGGTCTTGAGATCGGCTCTGAACTTTGTAAGTGATGGAAAAGTAGTCAAAGAAGGAGGTAGAGAGTTCCAGTTAAAAGGGCCAGAATGCCAGAAAAAACAAATGCAAATTAAGCAAAAGAGTGTTTAATATGAGTTAAAACAAAGTTAAGAACGATAGTAAACCGGGGCGTTTAGGTTCAAATAATACATCTGATAAGTACTTAGGAAATAATTTAGATTGAGACTTATACATAAATGTGCAAACTTTAAAAATTATTCTATATTTTATAGGTAGCCAGTGCAAGAGAACAAGATATGAAGATATATGAGAAAAGAAAGGGGCACGAGCAACTAGACGAGCAGCAGAGTTAAAAGCTTTACTTAGAGGATAGAGTGTAGAATCAAGAAGACAATAGTAGAGCCAGTTACAATAATCAATCTTAGATAAGACTAACGAAGTAACAAGAAGGATCACCAAAAAAAGGCAAAAGTTTTTTTATTCTACGTAAAGATAAGTGAAAACTTTTATCAACACTATTAATCTGAGAAGAAAGAGACATACTAGAATCAAAGATGAAGCCTAGACTACAAAACTTGTAAGAAACATCAATAGTTTCAGAATCAGGTAAGGTAATAGGAGGAATAGTAATAGAGTGTTTAGATTTATTAATCTGTCAGACCAAGCGATAATTGAAGAAAGACAGAGAAATAGATTATGAAAAAAACTATTGAGATTAGATAAAAGAAAAGAAGTATAAATATAAGAATCATCAGCATATAGTTGACTAGTGAAAAAAAAATTATTAATAATACGAGGTAGTTCAGAAGTAGGGTTAGGGATAAGAAGAGTGCCAAGGATAAAACCCTGAGGTACGATTACCTGACTGTCCTAAAATTTCTAAGCAGAGTACAAGGAAAAAAGAAAATAGCTAAATTTAACAAAAATTTCCAATATCTAATTTTTCGGTAGATAAAGATTTAACAAAAAAATTCCGTGTTACGTCAGCGTTGATAGTAATAAAGTTCCAACTAACACAATAGTGTTGCAATTTAATTTTAATTTGGTTCTTGCAAAATTGCAACAAATGGAAACTAAAATAAATAGTTTTGCCACCACACTAGCAAATCTAGGCACATGTAATGCAAACAATGCTCAAATGTCTGGCTTTTGAACGCATAAATAAAAAAATTGTACATGATTTGAACGTATGCATTTGAATAAAAATACTCAACAACAAAAAAAACTAGCCAAAGTATTTCTAGTGAGCCCAATTAACACCAATCTTTTCAATAAAGGACTATAGTCAGATGTAGGAAGATCATTACCTAGTCCACCGTCCACCTCAGGCAGTACTTCAAATAAATGTTGAAATGAAAGAATCTGATGCTAATACTGAGATACTATTTACAACTATTGATTGTAGAAAAAAAACAAGACAATCAATCCGCGTTTATAGTCTCCATCCGTTATGGGTCGGACTTTATTCCATTCATCAGTTTCTGCCTCCAAGCCGATCTATTCATTGCGTCTGTCTCCTTGAGAATAAGTGCCTTCAAGTCCTCCTATGCGGTCTGCGTCCAGGACTTTCTCGGGCAACCTCTTTGGCGGGTGCCAGGCACCTGGTGCTCAGTAACAAAAATTATTGTATCGTTTTCGCTTAGCTTCACGTGGCCAAACCATCGTAGGCGATGACGACGACATGCATCCTTCAACGTGCATAGTTTCAATCGGTTCAGGATATAGAAATGGTCCCTTAGGTCAACATGCTGCATCCAACAAATCATTTTCATGTCAGTTCGGTGAAGCTGCTGTTCGAGTTTAGTTGTCATCGGCCACGTCTCTGCACCATGCATCATAACAGAACGTATAATTTTAAAATATTAAAAAAAACAAGACAACAAAATAATAAAAATAATTCTAAATTTAAAATAGATACAAACACTGTGCATGGTGTAAAAAACAGTAAAAATTCTAAATTAAAAGGTTTCAAATCAATTGTCAAATGAGTTTTTTTTTATAAAAAAATTGGTCAAATGCTTTAATTGAAGGTGGCAATGTTGCGGGTGGTTGGATATTTAAGGCTTATGATGTATAGTTTGTTTTTCTTTTTTGCAAGACTTAGAATGTTGTCATTGATCCAGCATTTTTTGTTTTTGACAGGTCGGAGGGGGGCAAAAGTGTCTAGAGAGTGAGTTAAGATAGTATTCAAAACAGAGCAGCAGTCGTTGACATTTTTAGAGAAGTCAAAGAATTCCAGTTGTAGTTCGATAAGAAATTGTTGATGTTGTTTATAGATTCTTCAGTTAGGTTTCTGAAGTGCTTTATAGGGGCATGGTTTGAGATTTCTGATTTGGAAGCGATGGCGAATATAGGGAAATGGTCAGATATGTCAGACAGAATTATTCCAGATAAGTGAGAAGTTAGATTGTTAGTAAAGATATTGTCGATGAGTGAGCAAGAAGAAGTTGAGATGCGAGTAGAAGAGGTTATAAGAGGTAAGAAGTTGTATGATGATAGTAGGTTAGAGAAGTCAGCAACGACGTAGTCACTGTTGAGTTTATTGAGGTCAAGGTTAAAGTCGCCAATTAAATAGCTCTTTATGTGTGGCTTGAGTTTGGGTAAAATAAGTTCGAGCTTTTGGATTAAGATATTAGGGTCAGTGTTGGGGGGTCTATATACTGCTAAAATATTTACGTGTGTGTTGTTTAATTTTAAATTGACACCAAGAAGGTCAATAACGGTGTCGTCCAGAAGCAAATTGTTTATCATAGAAAATTCAATGCCTGATCTGATGAAGATTCCGACTCCACCACCTATTCTGCCAGACCTATTTTTAAAAACAAAATTGTAATCATTCATACGAACTAGTTTAGCGGTTTCGTCATTCAGCCATGTCTCTGAAATAATAATAATGGGAAAAAAATAAGATAAAAATTTATTTAAAATTAAAATGTCAGAAATTTTATTTAAAACACTTCTGCTGTTTATGTGAAGTAGAGGTAGAGGGTGATCATGATTGTTGATGTACTTGGCTTCTAGAATGTTGAGTAGATCTCTTGTGGTGTAGTAGGATGACTGTCTGGTGAATGAATCTAGGAGGTTCTTTGTGGGGTCGATGTGGGTGTTGTATGCGTTAAAGTGTTGATCATCTTCGTCGTTGTTTGATGGTTGAGGATGTTGTTGGATAGAATTGATTGTGGAATAAGTATTGTTAACAGCCATTGTCGTGATTTATTGATGTCGCAGAATTGACATCGGAGGGAGGACTCATCATCGATGAGGCTTGTTGTTGTTTATGTGGTTCGACCAGCTGAGAAGGGCCCATCGTGACTGGCTCGACTGGCTGAGTGGATTCTTCCGAAGAAGTTAAAATGGAAGCTACCTCAACTC